TTAATATCGAGAATATATACATAAAAATAAATCTTTAAGTCAACAACAAAAACGAACAACCCATTTTTTAAAATGAGCAAAACACTTGAATAGACATTTCTCCAATAAATATACATGCAAATGACCAATAAGCACACGAAAAGACGCACAATGCCACTAGTCATTAGAGAAATGCAAATCAATGCTACAGTGTAATACTTCAGGCTCATTAGGATGGCTACTATCTAAAGAATAACTGAGGAGTGCTGGTGGGAATGTGAAATGTGTAGCCATTGTGGAAAGTAGTATGGAGGTTCCTCAAAAGTTAAACATAGAACTAGCATATGATCCAGTAATTTCACTTCTAAGTGTGTATCCCAAGGAATTGAAAGCAGGGACTTAAACAGATCATTGCACAACAGTGTCCATATTAGCATTATTTACAATAGTCAAATGTCCATCAACAGATGAACAGATAAATAAAATGTGGTGTATACATGTAATGGAATATTACTCAAGCTTGAAAAAATTATGCTAAGTGAAATAAGCCAAACACAACAGGATAAATAATGTGCTTTTTACTTATATGAGGTACCTAGAATAGTGAGATTCATACAGACTGTGGACCAAAGGTTACTAGGTGCTGGAGACACAGATAAGGGGAGCTATTGCTTAATGAGTACAGAGTTTTTTCTTGGGATAATGATAAAGTTTAGGAAATAGAGAGGAGTGATAGTTACACATTATGAAGGCACTCAATGCCTTTGAATTGTACACTTAAAATGGTTAAAATGGTAAATTTTATGTTATATATATTTTACTCCAATATAAAAAGATAATAGGATATACTACCAATAGGGAACGAGACATGGATGCCTATCTTCACTACTTCTAATCGACATAGTTTTGTAAATTTTAGCCAGAATAATTTGGCAAGAAAAAGTAACAAAAATTACCCATATTGGGAAGGAATAAATGAAATGATCTATGTTCGCAGTTGACAAAATTTACCAATGATTGTAAATGCTTAGACAAAATGCAAACATTTCAAGAAAAATATTACTTATAAACATATACTTATAATAAATATAATTACTGACTGAAGAAGTAATTAATAGCTGTAATCATATTATGATTACTAAAGATCAAAACAAACTTTAAACATACTTCACAAGAAAATATCTGAACCAGATAGTTTTATGGGGAAAAGTATCATGTTTTCGAGAAATATATCATGTTATTTTGTAAAAATGTTTCCAAACAACTTTAAAGTCAAGTGGGAATATGTCCTAATTCATTGACCCCAAAATTATACAAAGACATTAGAGGAGGGAAAATTGTAGGCTCATTTCACTCATGATTATAAATATTTAGCAAAATTCTGTAAGCACTTTGAATTCAAGAGACTATAAATAATATAATTTGCCACCATCAAGTTTGGTTTCCCATATGTGTATTTTATAATTTAAAAGAGAAAAATAATCTATGACCATCTCAATAAATTCAGAAAAAGCATTTGATAAAAGTTAATCCCATTTATTATAAAACTCAGTTTATTAGGAATAGAATTTTGGTAATTTGACAAGTAATATATCTGAAACTTTAAGGCAAACATCATAATTGATAAAATATTATAATTACTCCTTTCAAAATCATTCCTTTTGACAGTTCAACTTTGTTTTAAAAATTCTAGCCAAAGTAACAAGGTAAGAGAAGAAAAGTGATATTTTTACAGTATCAGTCTATCTCTTCATGTAGAATATAGTATTAAAAGAAAACATGTAAGTTACAAAATGTCACACACAGCTTGATATACTTTATATATACAAAGTTAAAAACAACTAAGATAAAAACAAGTTAATCATGTTTTCTTAGCCCAATGCATGGCAGACCAGCAAAGGAGAAAGAACAGACAAGCTCAGTGCTGTCGAGTGTGGTAACAACTGTAGAAATGACAGTAACAACTTCACAATGCTGCCAGATTTTCTTTTTAAATGCCTAAATTGAGTTTTCTATATAGTTTTAAATTAATTAAGTTTTAATTAATGTTGATATGAAAGTAATTCTACCCATAAGGTATATGTTTCATAAACTTTTTTGGATAGACCAGTAAATAGTTTGATATAATATTTCCTACCTACAAAAACTCTACCACAGTAATAGTGTCCTAAAGAGAAGTTTTCCTACCTCTTCAGGCTTTCATATGCTGACCCTGTTCATCAAATTTGTTACCCTTAATATCCTGATTTGATTACATGTAGAATGATTAGTGTTTACCTATATCTAATTTCAAACAAAATTATGAAATGCTATTTACCATATATCTCCTTATTGTCTAAATGGAATTCTTAAGGATCAAAGCTTCCACTACACATTTGTTTACTGTTAGGGTAAGGAATCATGTACATTTGTCTCATATATTATCAAAATGACAATTTTTTTTAGTTGAAGTTGCTAATGTCTCCAAATTGCAATTTTAAGTCTGAAAGGAAAGACAGTGAAACTTTTATTCAAATTTAGTGCATTGAGAAAATACATATTTTCACAGCCCTAGAAAAATGCAGCCTTGTCTTTGTTTAAAATCAGCACTATCCAATAAGAAAATGAAATCTGGGTCCAAAATTATTGTAGAAACATCTAAATAACCTCTTAAAATGTTTACATATCAATTTATTCTTATTAGGACAAATATAGGACGACATAAATAATCTGACTGAATTCCACATATGCTTTTTCTACTATTTTGGCCTCTTCCCTATCCATATTTTATATCTGATCTATCACTCAGTTATGACTTTTTCCAAAAGCTATTTCTCAGTTTGAATATTCTTCCCTATTCTCATATTTCAAGATCCTCAGAGCTCTAAGCCTAAATTATGTTCCCTGTCACTAGTATTTCTTCATCTCTCTCAATTAACTACCACCCCTCCCAAACTAACTCATAGTTTAAAAATACAACTTCCCCTTCTGCTCTCTCCCAGTCAAAAACTCCGAAATCTAAAATATTTCTGCCTTAACTCATGTATTAAGCCCAAATCTTGTGTGTAGTTTTCAAAATTTCGCTGTATGGTCCCACTTTCTCTAGTTGGCGTTATTTCCCACTATTCTCAAGATGAAATATTTCTTATCCCCACATACACACATACAGTGCCCATGGCTCTCAACAATAGACTTCAAACTCTAGTGGGAGGGAGGGTGTGAGAAGGAAGAATATTACTGCAAGGAAACTGTGAATTTATATATGGGGAATTTTGTTAAAGAAGATAATAAAATACAAGCATGGCCTTAACATATGTACTATGTCATGGACAGTTGAGTATTTATTATGTATTAGGTATTAAACCAAGCAAGTTTCATAATAATAATTTAATCTCAAGTAATCTTTATAACAACTCTAGGAAGTATTATAATTGCCATTTTAAACATAAAATAATTAAAGGTCTAAGAAATGAAATATCTATTTCATGATCATATAACTTTATAAAGAAATAGGGAGCTTGGACTCAAACCCAGGAATCCACTCTATAGGTAGAAGGGCCCTTGCCTTTAAAACTTTTATTCTTTAATGTAACTCAAAGACGTTACAAGGCATTGGATTTAATTTTTCTCAGTTTTATATTTTTCCACTGCTGTTTTCTGCACTATCACTGTCCCCATTCCTTCAGTAAGCATCCAAATCTAAGGCTCAACTTAGAGTAAGCCCTCTCCAGCACTCTTCCTCAGGCCAGCCTAGTTTATTTTTCATCTCACCCAGATAATATGGGGCTAAGCTTGCAATACATTTTCTAATTGAATTTAAATTAATTGTTTTATCATTCTTCATTTTTATTCACTCAGCAAGAGAAAAGGCATTATAATATATATTTACCATGATCCTAAAAATAGATTATTTATGCAAAGCTAAGAACTTTCTGCATAGATGTGTATATACGTATACATATATATAATATCCTAGATAATTTTATTATAAATACGAAAATGTAAAAAGACTTACATGTAGTTACATATTTCCAGATAATTTCTTAGTAGAGATAACAAAAGGAAAAAAAAACCTTACATGTATATGCATGTGCACTAACATATTTAATGTGAGTGTCAAGGGAAACTGAGGGAATTTTTTCAGTTGTTTGGATCCTATATTGTGTTTCTTGTTAAAACATTCATTGTGACCCTAAAATCGTAAAAGAGTAGATAGGATAACTGCAGACAGGAAAGGAAAACAAACTTCAGGTATAAAGAGAATCACTGTAGGGGAGCATAGAGTGCACAATGCATGCAAAAACTTGGCATTTCAAAGATTATTGTCTTTCTCTTTCGGTGTTCATTCATTTAGATGCAGTAAGCAAAGTCTTTATAGTTTCAGGACACACACCATTAATACTTCTCTAGATTTGTTTTCTTTGCTACCAAAGCAGAAGTATACAGTTTAAATGACATACAATGAATAGAGAAATCCCACTGTGTTATTATTGTTGTTATTTTTGCCATATTATGACATGAGTAAATATAATGTGTTGAGCTGGAGTAGGAGATCCCTTGTCCTTGATGACCTGGTTTATACATATAGCGGGAGATTATCTGGAAATATAATATGTGACTATATGCAATAATAGAAAGATAAAATACAAAACAAAGAATGATAATTTATACTTTTGCCCCATACATATACACATATGATCTATTTACTAATAAATAAATAAAAACAATTATTAATGTTAACAATGCAGCAATTAGTGTGAAACTTTCATCTTTTTGATAAAAAAGTAGTAATAAACATTACTTTAGTTTTAATATTTTTTACTAAATATACTATTATAATTTTTTACTATAGTCCAGAGCACTAAAAGCAATCTTGTAAGTAAACATGCTTGTTGATACAGCAGAATATATTTTATGCATTTCAAAGCTCAATTTTTGCATACCTTTTTTTTTATTGACTATAAGTTTATAAAGTTTAAATTCAGTATTTAATGTGCTTTCATCTCCAAACCCTGAAAGAATTCCAAAATACACTTGCTCACCAGTTTTAACTTTGAAGTGTCTATAACCTTCACAATAGCAATGGTCTTCTCTTTCTCCTTCATCATTTTCTTTTCCTTAAACTTGCAAACAATAACCAAGAGAACTGTGCAGAAACTTCTACACTCAAGTGAACTTTGGTTCTTCTTTGGACTTTAAGACTAATCTGGTCTACATTGTGATTGACAAAAGCTTGCTCACGGATGTTATGAAGTCCTTTCAAGTTCCAACCAAGCACAGCGGGTTGTTAATATTTACTCACTCCTCGTCTCTGGAATGATCTTGAACTATAACAGTTTACTGAGATTGCCAAATGCCACCAGCATTTACAGACACTTGATTGAAAAATACTTACATATGTTAAAAGAAATAAGTTACTATGCACAACCACGTCTCTGAAAGAAAGGGGTGAAACTAAGACCAATGGGTGGAAATAATACACACATATAATCTCAGAGGCTAAATAATCATTCAGCTGGGGTGTAGGTGATGATCAGATCTATCTCAGGTCCCTTCAAATCATAGGATTCTATAGTTCTATGAAATGGCTACATTCCTGAAACAGCTGGCACAGCAGAGTGGGTAGGATAGTTACATTGGTTTCATGCAGGGCTGAATTCAAGCCCCTACTTTGGCATTCACTAACTATATGAACTTGGGCAAGCTACTGAACTTCTCTAAGCTTCTTTCCTCATTTATAAAATTTTAATAGGCAATAACACTCTTTATCTCATAGGTTTGTTGTGAAGTTAAATGCAGTTTTCACAAAAAAGTATTTTGCATAATTCTTGTCACCTAGTAAGTAACCCATGCATGGTAGCTATTATTATTGTTGTCTTTGTCCGTTTGCTTCTGCTTTTAGTCAGTTAAAAGTATTCCTGAATACGAATCATAATGAGAACAATTATTTCAATACTATGTGTGAAAGTTAGTCATTTATTTAACATGCATTTGCTGAGCAACTATGATGTGTTGGTCACTATGCCGGGTACTGACAACAACAACAAAACAGGCTACTGTTCTAGGCTCCAGAGACATAGCAGTAAATGAGACAGACAAAATCCCTGTCTTCAAGGAGTTTGCATTCTACAGGTGGAGGCACACATTAAATAGGTAAATGCAATAATAAATAAGATCACTTGTGTTACATTACTCATAAGTCAGAGGGTAAATAAAATAAGACATTGATTTGAGGAGTCATGGAGTAGGGTCTTACAGTTAGCGTGATAGTGGTAGGCCCCTTTGACAAGCTGACATTGACTAACAATCTGAATCATTAAGAGGTAACCATGCAAAGTTTTGAGATGAAAGCATTCCAAACTAAGAAAAGGAAGTGCAATGGTTTTAAGATGATAATATTCCTGTCATGTTTAAGGAGGAGAAAGGGTACCATTGAATCCAGACCCTGAAGTGAAAGGGAAGTGCTGACTACAATAGTGTCTGGATTATATTCTGAGTGTTTCAGAAAGTTAATAAAATGTTAAGCAAGGAGAAACAGGATCCGATTATTGCTTTAGGAAGATTCTTCTGGCTGCTCTGTGAAGAACAGCTGTAAGGGAACAAAAAGTAGCAGGGAAGATAGGTCAGAGCCTGTGGCAGTAGTGAGAGATGACAGAATGTGTTTTACAAAAGGACATGATAGGAAGCTGTGAGATTCTGGAAATTCTGGATTTTCCGGGAGTAAGAGAGAGAGAAAAGCAAAGAATGGCCATTTGTGTTTGCTTGTTTCACATAAACTAAAAGCAGATTTGGGACGGAGGACTTCTTTTCAGCTATGTTAAGTTTAAGATGTCTGTTAGAACCACAAAAGATATCGAGTAAGCAGTAGAATATATGAGTCTGGCATATAGGGGAACAATCTAGGCTAGAGATGTGTTGATGTTACCTATAGGATGTGTACTGATATATGAGAAAAGAGGACTGAAGACTGAGCCTTGGGACACTCTAGAACTTAGGCATCTCTTAAAGGAAAAAGAACCAGTAGAATGAGTGAAAAATCAGAGAATCCACAGAATCCCAGATAGCTCTTCAAGAAGAAGGAAGTGGTCAACCATGTCAAACCCCACTGAGACGCGAAGTCAAGTGAGAATGGAGAATTTGCTATTGGATTTTGCATTGATTGGTTTCCAGAGCCCTGTAGAGGACAAAATCTCTACCGGAGATGAGAGAATGAGAGGGAAGGAAGTGGAGGCAGGGAGAAAATGTGGGCAGTGAGGCTTGTGTGTGTGTGTGAAGGAGTCATGAAATAGCCTGGTAGCCAGAGAGGAAATGTGTTTAAAGGAAGCTGTTTGGTTTGGTTTGCTTTTAGTGCATGTTATTAAAGGCTGATAAATGCTGATATTTATAATCCAGTAGATGAGCATATACTGATGATCTAGGAGGAGGAAAGATTTAGAAAAAAATCAAGTCCTTTGGAAGGAATCCCAGATACAAGTGGTAGGACTGGCTTTAGATGATGAGCTAGGACGATCATTCACATGCGAGCTGATTATTTAAAAGAGCGTGGCAACTTCTCCCCTCTCTCTTGCTCCCTCTCTCACCACGTGATAATCTGGCTCCTCTTCCTTTATACCACAACCGAAGCTTCCTGAGGCCCTTGCCAGAAGCAGATGCTGGGGTAAGGCTTCCTGTATACAGTCTGCAGAGTCATGAGTCACATAATCCCCTTTTCTTTATAAAGCACCCAGCCTCAGGTATTCCTTTATAGAAATGCAAAATGGACTAACACAGGCAACCCTTGTCATATAGTAGGCAAACATAATAATACTTATTGATAAATATTCTCATTTTTGAAGCCTACTGTAATAAACAACTGTTGATTTTGCCTGACTAGAATCCATTCACATTTGCTTGGGTAACAGCTACTGCTTTCTTGGTTCTCACTCTTAGTCTGGACAATGTGTTGTGGAGGGCTGCTCAAGCCACAGTGCTAGCATAGGCCAAGACCCAGAGACATTGGCTTAGAAATAGATATGTGACAGGAGTTGCTGTTTTATCCCAGAGCGTTAACTGGAACTAAGAAGAAAAAGATTTCCTCTTAGGTATTCCATCCTAACTGAATGTTTCCATTAGGATGCATTTGTTTATGAGAACCAGAAACTCCTGGCATAATTAGCTTATAAAATAAAGAAAAATAAAACCCTTACATAATGTAAAATCCATAGGCAAAATAATTCTCCAGGGGCATATAAGCAACATTTCTTTGAGTATCTGTTGATTTTCTCTTTCCCTTTGTTTCTTCTGTTTTTCCTCACTTTATCTACCTTTTAGTTAGAAAGAAAAAAAAAAAGGCTACAGCAGCCCCAGAAATCACATTGTCCTATAACATCATAGAGAGGCAAAAACCCTTCTCTCTTGAAAGTATAGACTGAAGAAAACTTCCAAGCAGTTCTCAGTATCCTGCTCAACTTGCCAAAATTGCAGCACAAGCCCATTCTTAAAACAATCTCTGGCAAGGGAAATGGGGCCACCAGAATTGGTTTAAATTAATCAGAAACTTCCTTTTTCTTGTGAAGGAATGGATGTCTGAAAAAAACTAGGTTAGTAAGAAAAAACTGTATGCATGGCTGGGAATAGGCTATGACAGTGTCTGTTCAATGGCTGAGAATAAAGCCAGCACAGAAGAAAACAGAGACAAATTTACAAAGGGATGCCCACATACAATATTACTTAGGGATTTTTAGATGGCATGAACCAATAAATTCCTTTCATGCTTAAGCCCCTTATGAGTCAGGTTAACCACCTGCAACCAAAAGTTCACTGGCTAATATACTTACTCAAAGCTTTTTTCTGAATCTAACAAGTCTTTGCTTTTATCTACATAAACTATAAAAATCCTTCAGAATTTCCTACCCCTATTCTACCAGCTATTCTTGTACATTCTCTTTTTTCTCACTTCTTGCCTTATGTTGTTCTCTTAACTTGCTACTTTTCTGCCTTCATGTCTATCTCTTAAAATCTTAACTATACAGTACTTCATAACTATATTTCAAACATCACCTCTTTCTAAAGGACTTCCAAAAATTCTCACTTTCGCATGGTTTCTCCTTCATTTGAGCTTCAGAGCAAATCTCTGACTAGCATTTAAAATGCACACATGTAGTCTATATCAATTTTAAAAAGTCTTCAGAGACCAATATTTTTAATTATTCTCATAATACAGAAACAGATGCCAAAGAAAAGGCAGGTTAAGTGATTTGCTTAATTTCTAGATTAGAACCAGGTTTGACACAAGTTCCATATTCTTTCCCTCCCCGACTCTCAGGCGCAACTCACTGTGCTAACCCATTATATTGTCATCTCTTGACATGTGAATTATGCCTCACTCAACTTGTAGTATCATACTGTGTGAATATTATGTTTTACATAGAATAAGTATTCAATAAATATTTGGTTAATTGAACTGCTTGGTTTTATGTGTGGATCTAGAATTATCAATAATCTTTTGTTGGTCAACAGCAGATATTTCTTTATGTGAATACACTTAGGCCAGTAGTATCCATCTATTTAAAAGTACATTCTGTATATCAAAAGCATATTCTCAACAGAATTCATCACCAATTTTTTTACTAAGCCATTCTACACAGATTCTACAAAACAAGTAAATAATTTGACAGAATGTATCAGTGTACAATTTCAATGAAGTAAGTACCATGTGCAAAGAAGAGAAGCTTGCAGGAAATTAATGTCATTTCCTTAAACTCAGAAATTGAATACTAGTTAAGAAAATAGTATCCTCATTCCGTGAAATTAGAAAGGGAGATATTAGCCTTAATATCATATGTATCTAGATAATTAGTTTTTATGTCACTATGCTACTTGAAATCTTAAGAGAAAAAAGGTAGAATCATTACTCTATACTTAAAAAAAAATGAAAACTGAAAAAAAAATCCTACAACAAAAAACAGATTTTGAACCTCATCTGATACTGAGCAGGTAAAGTTAATATTGGTGACTTGACTCACACTCTGTGGAGGTCCTGCATAGTGGAGAAAAGGAGAGACACTTCTCTCATTAGATAGCCTACTCAAGAATTGAAACAGAAAAGAAAAAAGATGCCTCCACTACCAATTTTTCTAGGCCCTAAATTGAAAACATCCATCAAAATGTAGTCTAGCCTATTGACTTATTGATGAATAGTCCACAATACTCAGTACAATCAGAATTCACTTTTTAAAAAATAAATGTTTAAAGTAACAATTCAGTTGCAATCTTTGAGATTCTTTCTTCTTGTGTTCTCTAAAAGATTGTAACCATAAACAAACCAACACTAATCCTTCAAAATGTGTTGAAAGAGCTTATACAGCCTTTACAGATAACATTTTTATGATTCATAAATGAACAATCAGAAGGCACACAGCAAGCAAATAGGAGATAAGACACTATCCCTTCATTGAGTAGTATTCCAGGAATTTGTGCTGATTTCAACACAGAAGTCTTTCTACATGCTTTAAAGGGGGGTGAGGCCTGTTCTTTCTTTTTCAATTTGACTTTAACCTCTGGCTATTGGCTTAGAAGTAAATTTACATTTTTCATCTTTGTAATATTTTCTTTCTTATTCAAAAGTATAGAGCCTCTGAATCTGAAAGCTATATTAGTCATGGGAAAATAGTCAAAATTTAGTCATGACCTTCTAAGGGTGTTTCATTATATGCTGTGCTTAAAATAAAAAATTTAAAGATTAAATTCCAGCAAATTAGATATATAGTTAGATGCATGTATATAGAATTAGATAGATAGACACACACATGCACACACACACACACACACACACACACACACACACACAGAGAAAGAGAGAGAGAGAGAGAAAGAGGGGGAGAAAGATTAGTACAAGCACTGTATTCTTCCTCAACTATTAGGAAACCTTTTTTTCTGCACCAATAAATATTTTCTAGTATTCATGTTTATCTTGTCTGTTTCAAAGTGCAGAAAAAAATACCATTTGCTAATCAAATATATATATATATATATATATGTATATATGTTTTTTAATTATCAGAGTGTATTCATTTCAGTTTCAATGACCTTCTTGGGTCTGAAAGCACTTACTGTTCTTTGCATTAGCAGAGGAGAGTCTGTTTCTTCCTCTTTAAAACTTGATTCCATATCGATTATATCCTCAATAACGTCCTCCATCTAGCAAAATATAATACATTTAGAATATTGCACATAATGATAAAAGTTGTGCTTCAGTCTGAAATCAGAGAGAAAAATTCTAGCAATCTTTAAAAGTTTTTTAGACAATTTAAATTGAGTATATATATATATATATGAAACCTCAATATAATGTATATATATAAACACAGACTACTTTAGAATAGAAAATGCAGGAATCTTGACAACCTTTGGTCTGATGATCTTTGGTTTGTTGCTTTTCCTTGCACTTTTGTCCAAAGGCTGACAGGTGACAACTTGGCAAAGCACCCTGAGCTAGTCTCTTGCAAATCAGTATCTACATAAATAGAGTGGTTATCATAAAATATCTCTAGGCAGACAGAGTCCCTATACTTAATATGTACAGAGAATACCTTCTACAAATTTTATTTTTTTTAATGTTCTGATTGCATGATTGCATATTACATGTGGATCTCTAAATATTCATCATTAAATATTTGTCAGTACATTCCTGTAGATACAGAATACATGGAAACATTTCATTCTACCTTCTCTAAAGACCAATAATAATAGATAACAGCAATAGCAGCAGCAAAAACAACAATAATCATGGACATTTTAAATAGTAACAATAACAATCACTTTTATAGTGCATTAGAAGTACCATGCACTGTTCTAAGTGCTTTGCATACATCATTCATTTAATATTTATAATAATCCTATGAAATGAGTCATTCATTGCATACATCATTCATTTAATATTTATAATAATCCTATGAAACTCTGCTACACAGAAAAGGAAACTGAGAGAAAAAAATTCAATGATTTGTCCCAGATTATACAGTGAGTGAGTGGTGGAAGAAGGACTGACATCCTAGAAATTTGGACCTATAATCCAAACCTCACTGACTTTCTATTTCCTTTCTCAATTATTTTCTAAAATAGAAAGTTTCCTCCCCTTCTGTACTTTAGCCGAGGGAGATTTTAAAAGCTTATGTGTTTAAAAAATGGTTGTTTAT